GAATATTGTTTAAAATAAAATAGTCAATCCCAGCCAAATCTAGGTCAAAGGGTCAGATTGCGTGCATATAATTATAGATAGTTAAAACAAAAAGTATTTGAACTTTTGACGGTTGTTTAACATCTATGCACGGTTACTAAACTCGTAACCGTGATCTATGAAAACCAGAAAATTGTTAGTAGTCCGAATTTTTGCACAGTCGAAAATAAAGCGGAAATTCAACAAGCGGTCGCGGGAGCAGGCGAGAGGTTGGGCGAAATGAGTTCTATACTTCTTTGTTTGATGAAGCGATGCTGATGCCACAGTGTCGCCATAATGAGGCCACAATGAAGCGAAGCGATAACCGCCTAACTTTTTAATGTCGCATCATTGAAGCGATGCTGAAGCCATAACAATGCCATAATGATGCGATGCTGAAGCGAAGGTGAAGCTGAAGTGAAGCCAAAGCTTCCGCGAGAACTGTACTGTAGCTATGGATTTGATTTTGGTGCTCGTCTTATTCACTTAATTTTTTTTTATTCAAAAGCTGAAAAATGAAAAAGATCTGGACAAGATATCTGGCCTGAAATTAGAAGAATTAACATTAGATGCCAATCCACTGTGTGTTCAGTTTCGAGATGAGACAACATATGTCAGGTAAAACCATAACGTTAGTCAAAGAAAATGACTATGTCAGTACCTGCTCTGAAACAAAAATATCCACAAAGCAGTACACGCATTCCATCAGTCTTCACTGTTTGTACAAGAAATTGTGATATGAAATGGAATTAAGTATGTTTTATAGTTAAATGTTTAAAATTTAAGTGATCAATCTCAATGTCTAGTGTTCTTGAAGATGTGATGTGGGAGTCAGTTTTGTGCTCATACAGATTCTTTTTGTTTCTATCACAACATCTTCCCCTCTCAAAACATGTTGCACATGTGCACACACAAGCTGTCTTGCACTTGTAATACTATACATCTGAACCCTTGCTCCAGCTAGAGTGACAAGTGAATGAAGTCAATGAACCTGAAAAACAGCAACTGCAGTTTGAAACCACAACAGATTAGGAGATCAAGCAGAACGGGCAAACCTTGGGGACACTGTCCAAGCGCTCTGATTTTGAAGCTTTATAGCCCTCTGCTGTCAAGCTCTTGAGTCTGTTAGCTGATGACGGGTAAGATCTCCCACAGGGAGGCAACCTAAGCCAGGCACAGCCAGGACTTGACCATCACAGTTAGCCAGGAGGAATGGCTACCAATTGGCAGTGTATCTCAGGAGTTATGTCCTGTGGGAACAGCATGTGGTGAAAGATGGATCCTGTTCTCATTGTAAAGTTTGATCAGCTGGAGCATGGCATGCAGAGAGGGATCAGGATATGTGTTGATTTGTGGGGAAGATGCAGAGTGTTATTTGCACAAATTGAAAACAAGATATAGCCTGAAAAAATACCTATTGCTCATCTTCAAGAACGAAATTCTAAAACTTAAAGTTGAAGTTGAAACACAAAACATTTGTCATTAACTACAAAGCATGTTTAATTCTATGAAACCCATCATACGAGCCAGAATAAAAAAAATTGATAAATTGTTGAATTGCCACACACACACACACAGTGTAATGATATCAAAGTGGTTGTTCAATGATGATATCATATTACTGAAGTTGACATGCAAGTCCCTCCTCCCTCTAACAAGACTGATATTTAGTTGGTGCTGGGAAGTTATATAGATGGGTGTGTCCTTGGGTAAGTAGGCCATGCAGGTATGTACATGCATTGCAAAATCCAACTTGATGTGTTATTACTTACGGAACTGTGTGTGTGAGTTATGAAATGCCAAACAGATCAGATTGTCATATTGGTGATTTCATGTACATTTAAATTATTATCCCTACTACACCATTCTGTGTTTTATGTGAAACTTTGCCACAAACAATGCAATTATATTTGCTTCTTTCACAGTTCTGTGAGAAAAAGGTTTCCAAAATTACTGAAATTGGTAAGTATTATATGACCTAACAATAAATTAGCCATACATTGATACCAGTCACAACTACATGGATTACAAATATAATGAAGGTTATGTATGTTACTGTGGAATACTTTATTTTCGCTGGAATTAATTTTCACTGAAAAGGCTTCTTGGGCATTTTGCTTGAAATTTATTTTCACTGATTTTTCATGAGTTTAATGTGAAATATAGGAAAAAAAGTATATTCGCTGGATTTTATTTTCACGGAATCATCCCTTCAGCGAAAATAGCGAAAATAAATTCCAAGCGAAAATAAAGTATTCTACAGTATTAAAGCAGTATATTTGTTACGCAGCATGTATTTTATATATTTTGTATTAGAACGCATATTGAATTTAAAACATTCATTTTGTTACAGGATGGACATGAGTTGCCACCACCAATTACTTTTGATGTTGACACTGGATCAGAGGTATTACCTGACCAACAAGGCAGTTACTATATAAATGACCAGTTAAAAAGTCTGGTCTGTACATTTATTCAGCAGTAAGTTTTTGATGATTGGAATAGACCATTTTCCGTTCACTGCGAGAATCACGCGTTATGCGTGAAATCGAACGTAAAAACAGGACAAATGAAGGTCATAGCGTGGCAGTGGCGTCAAACATCGCGTGGGATTCAATAGGCGTGAACGTATTATGGGGGACATTTTCATGCTTAATAATGTGCTGTACACATTTGATGATAGACAATTTTGATTAAGTGAGGGTATTCAAAGGCAATATTCCTCTGTCGAAGATCGGCCGGTCGATGTGAGCTACGAAATAAAGAAATTCAAGTTCAAAACTAAATGGTTTGATTTTTGCGACAGACGTTCGACATGTGTCTTTCATGCATCTCGCGAAATCTCCCAGTTGAACAGAAAATCACCTATTAAGACATTTTCCACTTATTTTGATGTAATATGGAATTTGTATACTTTATTATGTTATCAACCAGACCCAGTCAGGCACGTGCATACTTTTCCCAAAGTAACATCAATATGTAAATGAAACTCTTAATGGTTACAGATCTACTTCAGCACTACCAATATTAGCCTGATGAGTCACGTGAGTTGCACCCTCCGCGGTGCTCCACACGCCTTACAGAACGATGTAGTTTTTCACTTCCCACGACGATTTTTTGTTTGTACCAATCAAATTGCAAGATGTCAGATAGTGACAGATATCAAAGAGTAACCATTCACAGCAGAGTTTATTTGTTTGTTGACATAATGTGTCACAAGGTGCTGACCAATGTTTATCATCTTGTTGAAAACAGTCTGTGATTTTTGCTGATAATGCAAACACGACTTTGATTAACAGTGTTACCATGACCACCAAAATGAATATTCATTGAACTCATTATAAGAAGGCGTGAACTTTGCGAATTCGCTGTACTGATCTTGCCGAAGATACGTACGTGTCGGGCGTTAGTGAGGTCTGATGCCATTCGGTCGGCTAGGGCCTACTCATGTCTACATGTCAGGGTGTACCAATATATCCTCCTTTGTTTTAGATAATGATGTAGTCTTCATGGATATTCAGTTTGGTTATGTCTTTACTGTACATCTTGACTGTTGATTCTGTTTGTTTTCAGATACTTTGCAGTTTATGATTCAGAGAACAGACAGGGTTTGCTTGATGCTTATCATGAAAAGGTGAGTGAATTCTGCATTCTCAGTATGCATCCCTTCTAAATGTATACATACTCCAGCATGGTTCCAGTCAAAAACCACTGCATTACATTTTATTTGAGTTTCTGAATAAGTTAAGTGAATGCTCATAATGATATTAACTTCTTGAATGAACTTATAACAGAACAAAATAATCACTTTTTGCTCTTCTACTCAAGCAAGTCTGTTAATAGCTGATAATGCTATGTACATTCGTTTCTAAATGTCACCTCTCTAAAAATATTATATTTCAGTCTTGTTTCTCCATGACGATACCACCTAATAATCCCAGAGATTCATCATCACAGAAGGTTCATTCCTTGAGCTACTACATAAAGTTCAGTAGAAATCTACAAAAAGTCACTGACATTGGTAAGTATAGCATTTATCAACTCTTTAATGGAATGTTTAGTAGAATTGGATTGAATATAAAAGTTGTATAGAGCAAAATAACAAAATATTTCTTACGATTGAAGTGATTAAAATTTAAGATACTTCCTCATCACCAAGACCCAAACAGTTTGTAATTGTCACAACAATATTAGCACTTCAAAGTTCTCTCCATCATACACAAATTGGTATGTCTGATATCTAGATTACAGGTCTAAGCTGCTGAAAACATCCAAACTTGGTGTTGTCGCCTTCCTCACTGAGCTTCCAGAGACTCAGCATGATCTTGCATCATTTGTTGTGGACATCAGCATGCAGACAGTAAGTGTACAGTAAACTACATGCGGTATCAGCACCAATAATTACATTTTATTTTTTGTTTATTAATAAGTACATTACATGATGATACAAATGCCAACTAAAACTACAGCAATTTAATAATTCCTGGAGAAAATTGAAATGGTCAAACAAAAACAACAACAAATATAAGAAGCAAAAATAAAAAACACAAAGAAGATGTGATTCATACTTGGTGTGTTGAAAACTTTCTATACATCGTTGTTGGACTTCATAACATGATTTCATTCCTTCCTTCTCACTACAGCCAACCTTGCTGTGTTTTACAGTATCAGGTTTATTCAAAGAAAGTAAGTTAACTTCTTATTACAATAGATGTGTCGTTGACGCTGCAGGTTGGCGTCCATTCTACACCGATCTGACGCATATCGCGCAAGGTGTGTTGGGAGTTTGTTCCAAACTTTGAACGTTTCGAAGTCAATCGTCGATTAGCACGTATTTTACGGATATATTAAATCGTTTCAGGGGCATGTTTACTAAATTATGATAAATGAAACTTAGAAATACTGTAAGAACAAACTGGGCCCAAATTGCACAAATTTGCAATAAGTTTACGCTGCTAGTGTCTGGTTTGGCAGGCGTTCTACGTATGATTTTATTGCGCTCAAGGACATTCTATTTTCGAACTTGTTGAAATCGGAAATTACGCAAGTACTTTCGAACTTCAAACACAAATTTGATTATTGTTATTATGTGTTAGTTTCTTATTAATTATGTATGACATTAATATTTCACTCACTAAACAATATTTCACTAAAATATGTGAAGAAAAGCAATTTAAACTGTAAAAAGCACTCTCAAGTTCTGTGTATAAACACTGGTATAAAGAGGCGGCGGAGCGCTATTTTAGCCAAAATCGGCTAGTAAGGCATTGTATGACATGGGTCTGTGCTGGGACAACGTAGATGTGTTAGATACACTATGGGAAAAAATATTTTTTGTAGCACACGGTCATGAGAATAATTAGCACAGCAACTGAGAATAGATTGTCATTGTATCATTGTTAATTTTTCTTTTCAAGCTGATACATTCATGACTTAATTTAAACATGTGTTTGGATAGCAATATTTACTCTCTCAAAAATCAGTTGGTAAAGATTATGTTTACATGTTCTTACTGTGGTTTAATTTTCTTGTTTTGAAAAGCAGGTAGAAGATCTGGCCATCCACAACCGATAATAGCATTTTCTAGGACCTTTCTCACTGTGCCAGCAGGACCTGGGTGAGTATCTGTGGTGTGATATTATTATATTCTTAACCAATCAATGAATCAAGCTTCTTCCTTGAATTTACATTGTACTTGAATAAAATAGTCGTATAAACAAAATCGTATATGGCCAAACATATCTGTGTTAAGATGCAGTGAAGTATGTCTAAGTCAAACAATCAAGAAACCAAGACCAATGTTTGATTTACATTTTTTGTTTGTTTATGTTTATGTACACAAGTATATGGAGTCGCCATCATACCTGCATATCAATTGAAAAATAACAAAACAATTTACTTCAGTGTGTAATTTTGGAATGCACTCTAAAATGATGACAAGATGCAAGTGTTGTAGCTTCATTTGTGTTGTTATTGGAAGTATTGTAATTGCACATCTACCTAGTAGTATTATTAGCTGCTTTACTGTCACATACGCTGATCATACTTATTTCTTTATTAGGTTGTGCATTATTAATGACCAGTTGAGTATAAGAAAACCATCATTAAGCCAATTAAAGGTAAGACATTTTGATAACTACATGGTTGTTTACACATATAGCTTACCATACTAATATTTTCACAAAAACTTTAGTAGGCATTATTTTTTGCTGAAAAAAATTGACAAGTGATTTATTTGCACTAGTTTGTCATGAATTACATTGAGAAAAATATTTTCGCTTGTCAATTTGTTGAATATAAGGAAAATTAATTCCAATTAAAAATGCAAATCTCTATTGATCAGAATTATGGTGTGCGTCTGATTTTGTAATATAGCCCATCTTCGAATGTCCAACAGAGAATTTTGTGTGTAATTCAGTGACTCGATGACACCCTAAGATGCTGAAGAAAATCACAACAGCTCGGCTATTGGCTAGAAACTTCTGATGAAGATATCTTGTGAATACTTTAGCTATAGAATTTATTGCAGTAAACATACCATACTTTAAGATTTTGGACAAAATTGTGTCAACAATATTACTTTTAAAATGTAGTTGTGAATTTCACAATATGGTTTGTTTGAACTTTGTAATTCTTCTAACATATTGACTTTTTTTCTAAACGTAGGGTGCGTTTAGCACGCCTGCACCAACACCATCCACCAGTCCTGTTCCTCCTGAGATCCAAGCACAATCTTCATTAAGTCAATCAGCTCCACTTGTTGCAGCAGTTACACCAACACATCAAGAAATGATACAGTCATTCTCACAGCAGTCAGGAATGAACGTGGAGTGGTCACAGAAGTAAGTAGTTTTGTTGTCAGAAATCTTACTAACTAACTTACTAACAAAAACTTTATATGACGGTAGAACACTAGTTTTAGAGAAGATTTGAATGCATGCTTTACATCACACATTAGTGAAGTAAAATCTTTTTAGCCTTAAGATACTTTCATTATACATATCTGCAATTATTCCCCGAAAGAGGAGTTTGCCTGGAAACAGAAATTATTTAATTAATCTTCAGAATTAGGCATGTGTTAGCAAGTTAGTGTGTTGTATATTTTACAAGGCTGAGTGAGTCTATGACAGTCATTGAGTTATCTAAGCAACATGTGATTATCGGTAAAGTTTAGATAATAACCTACTTTAATTGAAACTCTACAGGTGTCTATGTGAAAACAACTGGAACTATGAGCAGTCTGCGAGGGTATTCACCGATCTACATGTGAGTTTAGTACACCTCTATGCATTATATAACACACTATGTCTGCACATTGTACTAACATAAACAATTATTGAAGCCTTTAATTAATTGCATTTGCTATTGTCGTAAACTCCACAGCTGCCACTCTTCATACTTTAATAACATTACATGTATTTGGTCATTGCCACACCAGGTCCTCACTTAACGATAATGTGTGTACAAAAGCATAAAACTTGAATTATAAATTCTGACCTTTGTTTGGTTTCTATTTCAGAGTAAAGGGAACATTCCTCCTGAAGCCTTTGTCAAATGAGATTGATTTGATGAGTATTTTATTGATCAAACATATCACCCAAAAAATGTACGTCTGTTGTACTTTTAAAGTGTTTGAACACATACTTGTTTTCTTTGTAATTTTTAAAAGTAAGACGCTGGAAATTTTTTTTTATGTATTAATGTTTTACATGTTTTGATGCATGCTGTTGTTGATAATAGTATGTTATGCTCTTCTGTTTACAAAAACAATTGCAGAATGTTTACAAAACTTTTGGACCGATTTCTCTTGTACTATTCTGTGACAATACTAGCTAGCTGTAAAGTCCCATTGCTTCAGAGAAAATGATTATCATGTTTACTATTGTTCAGTCAAGTTTATGTTCACCATCTCTTGTATCCATAAGGAGTGACAATGCAAGAGTCTGGTGATCACTTGTGTTGAAAAAAAGCACAACCCATCAACCATTTTTTGGCCTTGATAGTTAAAGTACAGTGAAAAATATCATATTTTGAGGTAACTATTAAACTGGATTACTGTGTGTGTGCATTAAGCTTGCATTGTAACTGGTCTTTCTGAGCAAACTGATCTGTTTAATTTAGACAAAATATATAAATTTGCATATTTAATCGGTTTTAGTTTTGATACTGATACTTTTTATTTCTGTTGGTGGGATGATTGTCTTTTGATCAAGCTTTGTCAGGAGTATAATTGTGGTATTAATCTCATTATTTTTTTTCAAATATGATTGAAATAAATGATTACTAAGGACGAAGATAACCTACTAGCATTTCTAAGACATGGCCTGACTTATTTCAGTAATGTGTCAAATATTTTCAGAAAACCTTTGAATTGCAGAATGTATTTCACAGCTACATGTATATCAGAATGTTCGTAATTTATTTTAAAAACAAAAAAGTAATTGATATTTATTTGATGTTTTCATATGGGGGATCCTGAATAAGACTTGTTTTTAGATGTTGTAATAATTTTCCCCTTTGTGTATTTCTGTATTGGTTTTGTCTTTTATTGAATGCCTGTACACTGGCCCCTCATCCACATGTTATTTGTAGTTACTGTTTATTTTTACTTTACACTGCATTTCATTTCTAATATTGATAATGGATATCGATAACAATACCATTATACTGTATAAAAAGAATAAAATGCATTTAAATGACACTTACTAGTTGTACAGTGCTGTTTATGATGAAGCCAGCTATTTACATAATGTGTGTTATAGCCACACTTATTGTCGCATCTCACACTTGACAGCTCAGCACAGCTCAGCTCAGCTCAGCTCAGCTCAGCTCAGCTCAGCACAGCACAGCACAGCACAGCACAACTCAACTCAACTCAACTCAACTCAACTCAACTCAACTCAACTCAACTCAACTCAGCACAGCACAGCTCAGCTCAGCTCAGCTCAGCTCAGCACAACTCAGCTCAGCTCAGCTCAGCACAGCACAGCACAGCACAGCACAACTCAACTCAACTCAACTCAGCTCAGCTCAGCACAGCACAACTCAACTCAGCTCAACTCAGCTCAGCTCAGCTCAGCTCAGCTCAGCACAGCTATGAGGTGTGTTTACAGCAGGCGCAATATATTTACATACACCTACACCTGACAGTTAATCAAAACAACGGACCAGGGTTTTAGATGGGTTCATCTAGTACGTGTAAGCGTCCAGTCAAACAATCGTGTTTTACTCATTGTTCGTATCGGACACTTTATAATTTCATCCATACATATGCACACTCATTTAATACTGGAAAAGGGAAATTAAAAGATGATATAATTACCGGTATCACTAATTTTTTAATTGTAGTTTTTTTAAAACCATTGTCCAAAAACGGGGACTTATAATTTTGTTGCCGTCCGTCCGTTCATCTTTTGGACCGATTCAGTTCAATTCAAAATGGCCGACAGGCAGCCATCTTGTTTTTTGAAAATGTTGTATTTTGGACATGCCGCAGAACCATTTGACTCGATTTTTGGTGTGTGGATGCCTTGATGAGTGTAGATGGTAATTTGTTCATGAGAAGTCGATCTGCCAAAAATTATGCAAATTAGCCCCCCAAAACTCTAAAATTTCTTCTATGCTACTATGACACTAAGTGGTCTACAGTGCTGATATTGATAGTGGGTTGTCCTCTATCAGTTTGTTAGTTTGGTAAAAAAAAATTTAAATTTCCTAATTTTGGCAAATATTTTAAAATGGTCATTTTTGGTCAAAAATGCTATTTTCGACTTCTTCTCTGAGACTGACAGTTCGATTGCACTCTAACTCGCGTGGTATATACCTTGGGTGGACCTCTATCAGATTTGTTCATTTCATGTTCATATCTTCAATTTTCTATTTTTAGTGAATATCTTTGTCATTTTTGGTCAAAAATGCTATTTTCGACTTCTTGTCCGAAACTGGTAGTCCGATTGCTCTCAAACCAGCATGGTATATACGTTGGGTGGACCTCTATCAGATTTGTTCATTTTGTCATTTTTTATCAAAAATAGTACTTTTGACTTGTTCTTCAAAACCAGTAGTCCAAATTCTTTGATACTTGGTACACATGTAGCTTGGATGACACTTCACCCAGTCACTAAAAGTGGCTAAATTTATCAAAAATTTCAGAAATTAATGATTTTTTTTTATTACCTTAATGCACTACAGTTGTCGGAAAATGAACAAAACTTGGGAAGATTATACAATGATGCCATATTGAAATTATATGCTCACAGGGAGATATGTAATGTTTCCCATTTGTTCTGTCAACTGTTTCTCATTCTCGCATAGCACATGGGAGTTCTAAATTTTCTTTGATTGGTCTATTGTGATTGTAATGAAAACATAACCACTCAACATATTTAAATGTGTATAGACATGATTGATTTTCGTGGAAAATTATACAATTTAATCAGATTGGCTATTTTGGTGATGTCTTGAGAACCATTTAATGTTTTAAAAAAACTTTGTGCATAGATGTGTTGGGGCAGTTTCCAGATATATTTAGTTTTTGGTGCAAATTATCTAATTTGCATATCAGGTAGTGAAATTCAAGCTATTTGGGTGCTATTTCAAGAACCATTCAACATATTTCAACAAAACTTGGTATATACATGTATTGCGAATTCTGATAATTGCAAATATCATGTTATTCTCTCAACACGCTGGAGCTCTTTTTTTAACTCTCTTCGATTCTAATTTTATTGAATATTTCTGTTATTTTTGTAATTATTTTAGCATGTTTTATTGTCTCACTCACTGCCTTTTGGGGTATTTGGGGTATATACAGCACTAATCTTTTGTACAATAGCCGTTGAGCAACAAGCCATTGGCCTATTTTTTACATGTTTTGTCAGTTTTCATTGAAATTTGGTACAAAGATTATACATGTTAGGATACATGTCCATGACAATTTCTTTCGCAATTGGATCAAAGATGGCCCACTGGCAGGCATCTTGTTTTGTGTTTTTTATGTATGGTATCTTGGACATGCTTTGTCAGTTGTCATTCAAATTTGGCACATACTTTATACATGTGCAGGACAATTTGTTCCAAAATCGGATCAAGGATGGTCGATTGACAGCCATCTGACTTTTTAGCCTTACTACTATATTTCCAAGATTTATGTACCATTTTCATTCGTATTTGGAACATACATGATACATGTCAGTTTGTTTCATAATCAGATCAAAGATAGCCGAATAACGGCTGTTTTTATTATGGCCATATTACTATATCTATGTCACCTATGTATCATTTTCATTGATATTTAGCATGTCATAAATGGATACATGTACATGTCAATTCAATTTACAATTTGATCAAATATGGCCAACTGGCGGCCATCTTGTTTGTTTAAAATGTGATAACTTGGACATGCTTTCATTTTTGATCTGTTTTTCTTTGCTGTCTTAAACCGGAGGGATCGTCACGCAACACATGTTCGAATTTGATGTGAATAAATAATCTGTTGTATACGCCACTTGGGACTCAAGTTTCAAGGACACGCTCGCGACAACCCCTCCACTTTAATATGACGAGCACAAAGAGACCTTTCAAAAATTTACAGCAATTCCTGGCACTGATTTGACGCTGAAGTATTGCTAGATGTTGATAACTTACTACAATAGGTTACACACCTTGTTTTAAAATTTACAGAAGTTGTTGCAAATAATGCAGACAGCATGTCTGCAATTTGAAGCGCACCGGAAGAAAGCTCCGCCCGTAAAAGTGTCGGTACATTAGTTTTGAATTTCTCCTCCAATAAACGACCGAGGCTCTCAACTTAGTTTCGTACTTCAATTTGCGTCGCATGTTATTTCAGTAAGAGGGGCGCATAAAGTGGTGGCACTGTAAATAACGTTAGTTAGTTATTTTACAGAACCAGCTGACCGACTGATCATGACAGAATTATTGATCAAAGCGCCTGCAACAAATGTCCTATGAAGACTTCATCCAGTATATCAATAATGGGGGGGTGCAACTGGTACAGTTTTACGGGAAATAAAAAGGGCTTTTTACAACTTACAAGGAAAAAAAAGACGTTTTTACAGTTTACAGTGAAAACTGCGTACGAAAATATTTTATTAATTACGTTGTACGTCTAGTACAGAATTACGGAATTTATTTTTTCAATTTACGTTGTACGAACAAAAAAATATTGCAATTACGTTGAATGAAAATAACCCTTGAATACTGTAGTATATTCACTTTTCATTGTACTTGTGAGATGAAAACTAGCCAAACGACCAAAAAACGAGCCAAAACGACCCACAACAAATCGTCAAACAAAGACTGTCCAATTACCGCGATATTATTGCGACAGCCATTTTAAGGAGCACGTCGACCGATGGGGGCGCTGTTATCATCTGGATTGCCGCTGTCCCGAAAACCAAACATAAATATCTGAATAAACAATGATTAATAATAAACACATACATAATATTGATGAACAATAATAGTAAATAATGATAAATAAGCAAATAAATAAATATTTACTAGAAATAAATATTATTATTTAAAAAAAAACATAATTTATAAATAAATAACAACAAACATACAAAGTTTGACAACTAAATTGCTCGTCAATAAATTTATTCATTTGTTGGTTTATCTTTAAGATACCACAGTAAGACTAATTGTTGGTCTTAATTTTAATAAGGTATTTTTACTGATTTACATGTTAAACAAATCATCTGTCCTTGTCAGCATAAATGCGTGTAATATGAATTTCGCATCATGCCCACTCTAAAACCAAGAACCTGTCTCATGATTTTCATTTTAAGTACTGATTCGGATGACATTTTGTGCAGACAGCATGGGACAAATGCAAGTTCTGATAATATTGTTGTGCCACTAAATCATACTAATTGTCAAATTTGCATAATAATTTACCATTTTCCCCGCAAATAATTTTATATTTTGAGAACCACTTATTTGATTTGAACTTATACAAAC